TCTAGTTTTGGATATCAATCTTATTCCAATCATTAATTCTATATGTTATGATTGTTTATTAAAAAAAAAAATCATCAGATTTCTTCCAACATATATGAGTTTTTTCTATCTGTTTAGACAGTATTCATGTAGTTTAAAATAACTAAGCCTTATAACTTATTTAGATTAATTAAGCATTATCATGAACTTTGAAATATAAAAGAAACCTTACTGAAATTAATACCCATATAAGGTAACTAAGTTCATAAACATACCCACCCTATTACAATCATTTATTACATATGATATTTCTACATAACAAATATACACTCATTTTTCTTTTAAAAATTCTACAGCTTAATTAACTCAATCTAGAGATCTCTTGAAAAAAAAATCTAAAACAGTACTTCACCAAAACAAAACCACACAAACACATTAATACTATTATCTTCTAATCTTCTATAATGTATAGTATATATTACATATATTAGTCTTACTTATTCTTACAAAACAAAAATAAAGTCACATATCAATCATTTATTGTACCAAGCCAATGACCCTCCTTCTAATTCATAGGCTTGGCTCTCTCCATATATTGTCTAAACTCTTCCCCTTTCTCCCTCTTCCCACACTTCTACTACAAAATTTCAGAAGCAGAAACCACAACAAAAACTCTCCATTTTCTCGGCATAGAAACTCTCCATTGTTGTTGTTAGAATCATCAAGTAATGGGAGAAGAGATCAGCACGAGCAGGACATGCAAGCCGTCGAAGACCTTCAAGGCCAAGTGTAGCCACATGGTGAAGAAACAGCGAGCCAAGTTTTACATCCTTGGCCGTTGTCTAGCCATGTTAGTCTGCGGGCGTGACCGTGACCGCGACCGAGACCGTAATTTGATTTAGATCTTTACCTTATGTTTTTTTTCTCTCTATCTCTTGTATTTTTCCAAAACTCTTTTTTGGTTACATTTCCCTCTAGTATCAAACATTTGAACTAGGGTTGATATTTAAGTTATGTATACACATGATTATAAGAAACTGATATGATGATGCATTCATGAAATGCTTAATTAATTTCAAAATTTATTTCTCTCGTTCGAAAGTTTGGAATGGTATCTTCTTAATATGTTTTAGTTGTTCATGGTAATAACTTTTTTTTTTTTTTTGGTAAGCCTGTGTCAGTGGAAAGATCTTCAATTTAATTATAGTTTATACGAATTTTCGTTGTATATTCAGAAACTACCGAGACGACATGCATTGAGCATTCAAATGCTCGTTGTCGTTAATAATCTGAATAATAGAATAGAACAGCAAAACATCTCATAGGCCCATAGAGATTTTTAAATGATAAATAATCAGAGGAAACTTTGAAATAATTTGTTTACAAGTATTTTTGGCAACATTTGTTTACCATATATATATATATATCGTGTAGTGAACTTATATACTGTATATCTTAAAAACGATGTAGATAGTGAGGTCAGAGATCGAATCTCATCCACTGTACTTTCATGTTAGACACTGCAGCAGAGTTTTAACTTTTAAGTGACAACAAAATAACTTTGCTATAAACCTTTCGTTAGTATTAGTTTAGATGTCAAAGTATAAACACAAAAACATGACAGATGTTAATGCACAAATGAATCGTCTTTGAGAGAGTGAAATCATTCATTAATTAGTGTTAGATACTATCTCCCAAAAATGAGAGAAAAAGGTCGAGAAGATAAAATGTAATTATGAAAAAGGTCTATACGTACGACCTGAGAGGCCATGTGACTCGAGTCTAATTCATACTAATAATGCACAAATCGGAACTGTGCTCTATTTGCTTTTCTATTTTGTCGGTTTAGGGAGGGCGAGATTTTTGATTATTCTCTGTGTGTTTGTTTTAAAAAAAAAAATCAAAATGAAGATGATAACCAAACATCATTTTCCATGCGTTGATAACAAATTATATTAAAATCAGGAAAGCAAAAGAATAATAGATCTATAGAATTCAGGACACAAGTGAAAACAATAGTAACTCTATATCTTAGGAGTTACCTGCTCATTGTAAAGCTTTTTAACTCGTATAAATTATATTCTTTTTATTTATCAAAGAAAGAAGATATATGACTCTTCTTGGTGTAAACACATCATGATGAACTCGTGTTTAATTACGTAATATGAATGATGGCATGCATAACAATTATGCTAACACAAACTACTATGTCATAAGACATATACCTACAACATTGAACATATATAATTAGTTGTCAAGTGTTTTTGATAATCCACTGTAAAACTATATACAGGATCTTGATTTACGTAGATTTCTTCTTCTTCTTCTTCTAACGTACAACTATGTTTTGACCGATGCAGTCAGTGCATGTTACCACTATCATATTAATATTTTAAACAAAAGACGACCAACGGACCGAACACTATTTGAACTATATATGTAAAAAGAATCCGAAGACAAAAAAACAAACAAACTAAAACGTCCAACATCACGTGCATGCTCTTGCACCAAGGTCTTGAACATTTCCGACAGGCCGCACGCAACCGCTGATTAAAACGTAGTCGAATAAGTACGTTGCTACTTAGTAATGGATTATATATGGATGCGTACTTAAATCTAGAAAAAATAAAAGTGTAACATGACTAGAAATTGTATATGAACGTAAAATGCATCGATCAATTAGTATATCTATGTTATGTCCGATCAGGTATTTGGAACGTGAATAGTACATGTGTTAAAAACCAAATGTGGGTGAAAAAAAACTGTGAGCCGACAGTGGAATGCGATTCCTCGAAGCGAAAAAGGTGTGCAGATGCACTCGTGCGGTCCCTCCTCGTTACTATTTTTATCTTTTTTCCACTGTTCATTTTTTTTTTCTACTTAACTTTAACTAAAAATAATCATTATTTTCTCAATCTCTTTTATTTTAATTTGATGTAAAAGGATCTTTTAAAGATCAATTTTTGTTTCTATCAATTATGATATGATGGGATAATTGAGAAACGTGACTTTCAACCTTTTTCATCATAAAGGAGAACTTGATTTGTAGTATTTACGAAAGAAAAGTCAGCATCATTGACGAAAGAGATGTGAAAATAAACATCTATCGTTGGCCTCATCGTAATTAATTATTGTCTCGATAAGATTTTAAGGAATTCTTCAACTCTTGCTATTTTTGAATTTGTTTATAATATTGTGTTGTATTCCACTAACTGTGAATAGGTGGAGGGTTTTGTTGTTTTGCTTCTTATTCTTTTTGACGTTGCTATACACGAAAATAGGGAGAACAGGGAAATATAGATATTTACATCAGAGTTTTGGCACTTTTTGCAATACATATCACATTGCTACACTTTCATACTTAGGGTTAGGAATAAGCGAATGATTTATAAAAGATTTTTAGTTTGTAAAGAAAATTAATAGATTGAACCTTTAACTTACATCCATATATATTGAAGCTTACATTTCAAGAAGTTCTAACTACAAGTTTCGGTTTATAGTTCCTACTAACTACTATACCAAGTCTTACCTATTAATTTGAAGTGTATGTAGTTTAGTCTATACTGCTTCTATTATGTTCTGAATGACATAATTAATTTAATTTACCACACTGCTTTACATTCTAATTAATACATTAATACATGTTATAAAATAAACACAATAAAGTAAAAATTAATTCGATTCTTCTTTCTTCTAAGTTAGAGATTGGTCACATCGGGTAATGTATGGGATTAGTTCAAGACTAATAGCGAAGATCATTAGATTGCAAAAGCCAATAGATCACAACACATAAGAAAAGGGGATTTGGGACCCTATAGGGTTGGAAAAGAAGAAAGAACACGTGCATCTCTCTGACACACGTTGAAACACAAACACTTGATTTGCATCCATCTCTCTATTTTTTTCTCCAAATTTTTCATTTTCTTTTGGTAATCTCAAGCCTTTTAAACTATTCTCATCAATGTATTCACATTCAACACAATATAATGCCAATATCTTCAATAGTTATTATCATATTACATACATTGTTCAATATTGTTGTATGCTACTAGCTAGATATTGTATTCCATTAATCAAGTTATGTAAAAGTTTAATTATATATGTTAAATATTAATTTGATCCAATAAGATGACACAATCAGGTTTGTTTTTTTTTTCTTTTCTTTGTAACAGTTTATTACAAAACAGAAAAAAAGAATCATTATCTCTATAAATAAATAAACACAAAGATTTATGTGCTTGCGTATGAGCATTTCTAAGCTAGATATACCCCCCACGTGACGGTGTCCGTTTGTAGCAGTCTTTGTAGACTTCCCACGAGCGGGTGTTGTGTGTGTGTGTGTAGATTGATTCTCCGAATAGAAGGCGGGCCAACCCCATGACCGTCCCCTCCTCTCTCGCCTTTACACCCACATGCATATCAGCATATGCCATATATTACGACTAGTTTACAAGGACTGAATAATTCGTTTTTACGTTTCTGAAGTTTCAATAAAGATTTGGGCAATCCGTGACGACGCTCTATGTTTTGTAAAAGAGTAAACAAAAAAAAGAGAAGACCCGTCGAGATGAACAGACACGTACGTTTAATTCTCCTAGCTAGTTATGTAACTGTCTTTGACTCTTTTTAGACCAAATTAATTGGCCGGATATGATATGTCGTCACTAATAAGTCACTAAAGCTTTCAAAACAAAGGTTATACATTAATACATAGTCTAACAGCTGAGGTGATCGTGAACTTAATTACACACTTACTAAACTCTTTTAAAGATATAAATTATTATTGCCCGTAAAAGTTAATTTGGCCTAGTTTGTTCCGTACAAGATATGACAAGATTAGACGATATGATGGTCCTTCTGACAAAGATCGTGATTGTGCACACTAACAAAGTAATAAGTTTGTTTCTTGTGTAGTCCATCATCTACTCCATTATTCTTTGATGACGACTTATCTCACGGTAAAAGCATCTAAGATTCACGAGACCACACATGAAAATAGCTAGTCGAGGTGGAGATCGTAATATTTGTAACTATATTGTTATACTTCTGCCCTTGAATATACTAAATTATTATACTATGTTTGATATGTGAAAACTCCAAATCATCAATCTTAGTAAGAAAAAACAACTTCAAAGAGTATTCTTCATATCTATGATTATCTTCTAGTTACAAAAAACTGTTCTATGTGGTGCAATCACGAAAGAAATGACAAAACAAGTGTATGCACTCTCAATCATTCTCACAGTTCCCACAGATTTGTTCTATCTGTATACAAGTTTCATAATAAAAAAAGAAGCTAGGATCATGATAAACACTTTGAATCTTTGATGTTGAAATAATTAAAAGACAACTCCAAACCTCATGGCAAAAAGTTTAGATGGTTCTGAGGGATGATGAGCACAACAAACTCGTGAGGTCGTCTCCTCTGCTAAATGGACCAGCCTGACAAAAACCTGCCTACACGGTATTAAGGCCCTTTCGTTTTCACATACTAAGTTACCCACTACCACACAAAATTTATGACAATGTTAATTTACCCTTTTTCACAAAAGTGAAAATAGGACTTTAATCTATCTAGTTTATGCGAAAGCCTTTTTACAGTGTTTCTTACTTGTAGAAAGTAAACGAAGTAAAGGATGAATTTTTTCTTTTTTACCTCTTCTCTTCTCCATTTTTCTTTTTTTTATACAGGCCTCGAATCCATAGAGACCCAAGCAACAAAAGAAACAACCATAATTATTAAAACATTCCCAAATCACGGTTACAATATCACTCTTGTAGACTTATTAGAACAGTGTCAGTGGAAAGTTAGAAATTTGCAGCTTTGTTTTGGGATTGATTAGACCATCTATATGATTTCAGAAGTCCATACAGGTTTAGTGCCAAAATCTTATTGCTATAGTTTTATTAACTTATTTTCATCATAAAACCATGCCACCATATCTAACACACGGTTTATTTAGAGACTCAACTATTATATAAAAAACATACGACAACGACCAGCAAAACGGGTCACAAAGTCTGATCAGATCTCTTTCAACTGTAGAGATCATCATCTTCGGCTGCTCCTCCGGATGTGGCAAACGGGTCAGCTCCACCAACCGTGGCAGCACCTACAGTCCCTGTAGGCGCATCTGGAAATCTAAACTCACTTCCGAACCCACGTGATTGCTGGAGAGTCTGAGCAAAAGCCTGATACTTGCGAATGTCTGCATCACTTACTGATCTCCTAGCGTATTTCATGGATTCCTCGAAGTGACCGGCTTTGATCTCTGCAATCTCCTCCTCGTCCTCTTCCATTGCTTCTGGTGACTCTACTCTTTTCCTCTCCTTCTCAATATCCTAAACAAAACAACATCATATATCATAAGCCTCGGTAACATAAAAAAAATAAAGGAATTGTGATTCCAGTTTTAAGTTTCAGTTTCAGATACCTTCTCGATGTTTTCTCTGATAGCGTACTTGCAAGAACGTTGGCAAATCTCTGTGATGTCTGCACCGCTGAAGCCTTGGGTGTACTTAGCAAGAGCCCTCAGGTCAACATCTTTAGCCACAGGGGATTTTCTCAAGCAAGACTTGAATATCTGGTAACGAGACTCCTCATCAGGAAGAGGAATGTAAATGAGCTGATCGAGACGACCAGGACGCAGAAGTGCAGGGTCGATGATGTCTGGTCTGTTTGTAGCTCCGATGATGAAGACAGTCTTCTTAGCAGACATTCCATCCATCTCTGTAAGAAGCTGGTTCAATACTCTGTCTGCAGCACCACCAGCATCTCCAACACTGCTACCTCTCTGTTATCAAAGATGTTCATTAATTTTTTTTTTGATAAAAGGTAAAGGGCATAAGTAACGAAAAGGGAATACGGAACACATGACAATACCTGAGTGGCAATGGAGTCAAGCTCATCGAAGAAAAGAACACACGGAGCAGATTGGCGTGCCTTGTCAAATATCTCTCTCACATTGGCTTCACTCTCTCCAAACCACATTGTGAGGAGCTCAGGACCTTTGATACTAATGAAGTTGGCTTGACACTCGTTCGCGATAGCCTTAGCCAAGAGGGTCTTTCCACAACCAGGAGGACCGTAGAACAGGAGACCTTTAGAAGGTGACATACCAAACTTCTCAAATTTCTCAGGATGCTCCACTGGATATTGAACAGTCTAAAACAACGCAAAATATTAGTTTATATTCACGGGTCAAGTAAAAAATAAATGTCAAATTGTTGAAATTGTTGATATATACCTCTTGGAGCTCCCTCTTGACATTCTCAAGTCCACCAATGTCCTCCCAAGAAACATTAGGCACTTCAACAACCTGGTTTCAAAGAGAAATAACAGTTTAAGGACATGCGCTTAATAAGAATGGTACCAAATAGACTTAGAAACAGCAAACCAAAAAGTTGATCTCCTGAACTTACCGTCTCACGTAGAGCAGAAGGATTGCTGTTACCAAGGGCAGTCTGGAAATGCTCATTAGTCACAGCCATAGAATTGAGAATTTCGGCATCTATCTCGTCGTCTTCTAGGTCAATTGCATCCATCTTCTCTCTGATACATTGGAGAGCAGCTTCAGTGCATAATGCGGCAAGATCAGCACCAACATACCCATGGGTGTCTTTGGATGCTCTTTCCAAATCAACCTGAACAAAAGAAAACCACATTAGATCTGACAAACAGAAAAGGCAAACGAAAAGAAGAAGCTAAATAATATACAGCAGAACTTACATCTTCTGCCAGCTTCATGTTCTTGGTGTGAATCCTGAGAACCTCAAGACGACCAATCTCATCAGGAACACCAATATCGATTTCTCTGTCAAAGCGTCCAAACCTTCTCAAAGCAGGATCAATACTGTTGGGACGGTTGGTCGCTCCCATAACAATCACATGTGCTCTGGATTTAAGCCCATCCATAAGCGTCAACAGCTGGGAAACAATCCGTCTTTCAACTTCCCCATTTGTCTTTTCTCTTTTTGGAGCAATAGAATCGATCTCATCAATGAAAATGATTGAGGGGGCATTCTTCTCAGCTTCCTCGAAAGCTTTCCTGAGGTTGCTTTCACTCTCACCAGCTAGCTTTGACATGATCTCGGGACCATTGATACAAAAGAAAAAAGCACCAGTCTCATTAGCAACAGCACGGGCGATCAATGTCTTCCCAGAACCAGGGGGGCCATAGAGCAAGATTCCCTTGGGAGGTTTCACACCAATGGACTTGAAGAGTTGTGGATGCCTCAATGGGAGCTCAACAAGTTCCCGAATCTGAGCCATCTGTTTTCTGACACCACCAACATCATCATACCCAACTTCATCAGCCTCTCCTCATCCTCTCTCTTAACTGGCTCACCCTCGCAGAAAATTTCTGTATCTGGAGCGACCACACAGTATTCAGCAGGATCGGTCTCAATAACCTTAAACTCAATACTCCTCATCCCTCCTCTAACCAGGAAAAGATCACCCTTCCTCACTGGACGGTATGCCTCCAAGAAATATGCTGGCAAAATACAAAAAACCAACAGACAAATACTAGCATTAAAACAGCTGTACTAAGATAAAACACATCAAGAAACAAAAAAAAACAGAGCCCAACTTGGATATATTGGCCTAAAAACTCTCAAAATAATGAGAATAAAAAATCAAGAGATTAAAAACACTTACGTTTAAGGTATGCATCAAATAGATTTCCAGTAACTCCTTCAATGGTATCATCAATGGGCAAGATATGAACTCGCTTCCCATACTTAACATCAGGGCATTGATGAACAGAGATAACATCGCCAAGCCTGACCCTCAGGTTCGACCTAACAACCTTGTTCATCCTAATTTTTGGTTCATCACAAGTATCATCAGCTAAAGCTATACACACAGTATCCTTCCTCTTCTTTCCCTGCATCACAATTCCCAAAAAAAAACAAAAAAAAACGAAGATGTCAATACACACAACACAGATCAAAATAATCGAACCTTTTGAGGAACCCTAGCATCCCCTCAAAACTCTCATCTCGTATAACAACACATAAGCAGTAAAAAACACGGAACAATCGAGTTTGAATAAAGCCCCTCAAAAGACAACACCCTTATAAACCCTGAATTAAGCTAATCCTAGCAAAACAATCAACACAAGAAGAGCAGAACCTAAATTTAAGTAAAACTCAAAATCAGACCTTAATCAAAACGGTATCACCACGAAAGAGCTGTAGCTTCTCCATAGTCTCAGGGTGCAGAGAAACAACAGAGTTATCATCGTTGATGGCCTCATCCACAACCAAACGATTCGCCGCCTTCTTTCTCTCCAGAATCTTTGTGCTAAAATCCTTCTTCGTCCCCTTACTGAAATAATCATAAAGGAAACAAAAAAAATTATTAGAAAAACCCAACACGAAGAGTGAACGAAAATCTTAAAAAGTTATATAGATGAACAAGACGAAGAAGCTAGTAAGAATCAACAAGTACTTACGAATCAGATGATTCAGCTTGATCCGCCATGTTTGATGTCGAGAACAGAGAGCTTGGAAGAAGAAGAAGGTTCGAGAAGTGTGATCGGTTGGTTTATGTGAGAAAATAAAGAGACAGGTGTTTTGTTTATCTAAGAAAAAGGATAAACCTGTTTCTTGTTATCAAAGAAAAGTTATTTTACCAAAAAAAGAAAGAAAGTTATTTTCCCTTTTTTCTTTTCTATAGTTTCCTTTTTCCATTTTTCTTGTTGGCGTTATTTAGTTTACAAACGTCGGCCTTATACCAACATTATCAATGGGATCTTAGCCTCTCGGTTTTTGCAAAAGAAAAATTTTATATAAGATCTTTTCTTTTTAAATACCGAGGGATTTTAACCTCTAAGATCCCACCAATAATGATGCCCTTAATGGATACGGTAAAAGTCTTTGATGGTTGATAAAATGTATGGGCCGTCACCGGATCTCCCAACGTGGCCCAATTACATAAATGTGAAAAGAAAAAAGTCATTATTAACCACATACCAACGTTATAGTCATCGGTTTCAAAACATAGTCAAGGCTCAAGAGTGAAGCCAAAGACGATCATGGAGCCTCTCTTCACCAGCTCCATACATCTCATCTACTTTTTCACCGTCTCTGTAGAACTGAAACGTGGGTGTGTAACGGATGTGCCGAGTGGTTTCAGGGCACTCGTCGATATCTGCGTAAACAAACTTGAGCGTAAAATTGTTGCTGAGCTTTTGGAATGCTGGAAGAATCTGGCTACATACTCCACACCTGAAAGTTTCAAAAACGCTAAAAACTCAGTTAAACCTGACCAAAAAAAACAAACAAAAGAGAGAACTTCTGACAAAATCGTTCTCATTGAGGCATTTCATCGAACACTTTGTATGCATGATATGCATCATATTTGCAAAAATGGAGAGCAAAACGTACCACGAAGCTCCGTAGTTAATAACAGCCTGCAAATAACAAAACATACACAATAAGAACAGTTAGATTACGAAAGAATCAAGCTTTGGTATTAAAAACGTGTACAAATGTAATAGTTGCCCCGCTTGTAATACCGGAGATTTTGAAGATTTGATGTCGTCAAGAATTGTGAGGAAACTTTGGTCGTTCGGTGCGATTTTCAAATTGCCATTGTGATCCGATTTGGACTCGAAATCAAGTTTTGCTTCCTCCGATTCTTGCTTTCTCATTTTTTTCTTTGTTTTTTTTGGTTTCGGAACTTCCGATTTAAATACTTTCGCAGATTTTATAACCTGAACCGAACCGCAAGTACCAATTGATTTAAGCTTAAACCGATTTTAACCAAAGCTAATTTCGACATCGACAGATTTCGCCAACCGCATCAATTGCGATTTTGAAGAAGAAGAAAGTAATAAGCAAAATTTAGGAAGAAATTAATGGTTGATAAAGAGAAGATATTGGTTTATTATTATTATGGTAGTCTTCTTCATGACCAAATTCGGATGCTGAAGAAATCATATGTTGTTGTTGTTGTTGTTGTTGACAAAGAAGAGTTTCTTGATTCTCCCAACTCTTTCCCATCACGACTAAGTACAGTCCACTCATGATTAGTATTGCACCAATCAGTCTGACAAAAACAACAGATATATAATATGTTTGTAAGGAAAATTTAACTTTTTAAGTATATGAAAATAATACAATGTAATGAGTAAAGTAAAACATACCCTCCAAGGTAGAAGTGTTCACCAAGAGCAAGAGTGGCTAAAACAGCAGCAATTAAAGTTTGTAGAGGCAAATACGCTGATACAAACAGAGGTCCTCCTCTCTGCACTACATATATTTGTATTGCAAACACCATTGCTGAACCCACTATTCCCTGCAAAACATATAATTCAAAGTTTCAAACTCACACCAATATTAAACAGAAAGAGTCTTGATCTAAAAACATAACAAAAAACTTACAGTGTATAGTAACGCGTATACTTCGCCTACTGACGTTATCTTCCACCTCTCTAGATCTCTCACGAAATAAGCAGAGATTCCGAAGAACTGTAACACGGCGAAAAAGCAAGCAAAGGAGACGAAGGAGAAGCGAGCTGGATACTTCTTTAGCAATGGTGACTGCAACACAATCCAACTTGACCAGCATAAACAGTGACCCATCAAACAAAGACATCCCAACGTCCAGTTCTTGTTTTGCTCCTCTGCTTCTTCAGCTTTCATGTGTTGGTTCATTAAACGCAGACTCGGTTGGTAAATGGTTGGTCCTTTATAGAGCGTTATAACTAAAGATCCTGCCACTGATACAACTGTGCCCACCACTTTTGCTATACCATCTTTCCTCTTCCATCCCACTTTCTCTATTCTACGATATTTAGTGGTCATGGTGTGTTATATTTAGTAATGAGATATGAGTGAAAATGCGATTCAAGAATCAAGAACATACCCGAGTAAGGCGGCCATGAGGAATGAAACAGCAGGAACAGTATTTTCAGTTGCTGATGCAAATGTTGGTGAAGTATTGTCCAATCCAAAGATGTAAAATCCTTGATTTAATGTTATTCTATAACCAACAAAATAAATAAAAAGAGTTTTGAGTTTTTAAAATTGTGTCTTACAAGACAATTCAAGGTTTCAAAACAAGATCATACCCGATTAGTCCAAGAAGGAAGAACTGAACCAGAAGACTCTTGTTCAACGCAGGTCTCTTTTTTCTGTTAGGAATATGAAAATAATCAAAGATTATAAACAAGAGTCTAAGAATTAATGAGTTAAGAATAGTTTGAGATTAAAGAAGTGTATATATACTTTTCAATGAAGTAAGCAGAGGGAGCAAGAACAGAGAAAGCAACTATGGTGCGGTAAAGTGGGAAGACGAGCTTGCTTACTCCCAAGTTTAGGGCGTATCTCACGATCACGTGATTCCCTGCGTACCCTGACTGAAACACCACCATAGCTATGTGTAGCTTTGCCCTTTCCGGTATCGGAGACATCTTACCACGCCGCAAGGAAGAGATCTGTTTTGGTTTTTATTTATATTTTTACTTCGAATGATCTCTTGTGGCGACTTTCTTGTAAACGACAAAAAACGAGATAAGACTGTGACTGTCATGTGCAGGGTTGTCTCACGTGAGATGTGGAATCGTCTGAACCGCTTTTAACCAAAGTCAATTTCAACATCGACAGATTTCGTTAACCGGCTCAGTTACTAGTTTGTGATCTTGCGTCGATTTTGAACTCTCTTTGGTGCCAAAATGAGATTGGGCTTTAGACGTAACTAATCAAACTTAAGAGTGCTTCGTTGGCTTACACTTTTGAATGGGTGGAGAAAAGATGTAGAAAGATCTCGTTTTATCTCAAACCCTATTAAAATACGGATTAATTGGATTTTTAGTACATTTTTGAAACATAATTATAAAAGTAGTACATTTACTATTTATAATTAGCAAACTAATACATTTTTACTATTTGGACACTATTTAGACACAATTAAAAAACCCTTTAAATCTAATAACTATAATATTAATCAAAATAAATTTGTTTTTAATAAAATTTCAGTTACATAAAAATCTACATTTTTTTCTCTATAATTTGATATGCATTTTATTCTAATAATTTATAATATTTTTCAAACAAATTTTGATACGTCCAGCTATCCTTATGTACAGTTGTGTGTCGCTGTACGGAAAATCATCCGTACAGCGGTCTATATATACATATAATTGTACGTGTACAAATGTTTTTCTTGTCTATATATGTATATTTGTTTATGTGTAAATATGTGTTTTTGTAGTTGTTTCTCTTTGTACAAATATTTTATGTACAATAATGTGTTGCTGTACAGTTGTCTATATGTACAGATACCTGAAATAGTAAAATTGTACTATTTTGCTAATTATGAATAGTAAATGTACTACCTTTATAATTATGTTTCAAAAACGTACTAGTTTGCTAACAAACCCTTAAAATACTTCCATCCTTTTTATTTTTTTTGAAGTCCCTAAGAAATTGAATCTCTCAAAACCAAACCTATTGGATACTTGAAATAAATTAATTGAATTTCTAAGATGATGAAAGCCATAAACCCTGACAGAAATAAATTTTAAAAACCACTACTTGATGATGATTCATAAAGAAGAGATACTTGGAACCTAATCCAAATCTATAAAACTATAACTTAAAAGATGACCAAGAATGAAAAAACAAGAACCTAACTAACTGAGGCATGATGTTATTATTCCCACTAAACTATTTTGTGTTCGTCAGCTTTTTGGACATTTTCCCAATTTGGGTAAACTCATGACTTTACTATTTAAGCAAAGCCAAAGCAAGCGTACTAGCTCAAAGCACAAAATTAGAAAAGATTTCTAGTTAAGTAACGTAAACACCAAAAACAAGAAAAAAGAAGACGAAAGGAATGGAGTGTAAGAAGGGAGAAACACTTCGTAGAGGGCCATGGCTCGAAGAAGAGGACGAACGGCTCGTGAAGTTCGTTACCCTATTGGGAGAAAGACGTTGGGATTCTTTAGCAATAGTTTCCGGTACACATTGAAACTTATATTATGTCACTTTCCAAAAATAGAAATTTTGCATATGTCTAAAAGATATGTTTGTTTGTTGTATCCATACTTGTAGGTTTGAAGAGGAGTGGTAAGAGTTGCAGACTAAGGTGGATGAACTATCTGAATCCGAATCTGAAGCATGGACCAATGAGTCAAGAAGAAGTAAGGATCATCCTTCAGCTCCATGCACTCTGGGGTAACAAGTGAGAGACCAACAACAAAATTGAATCTTTTTGTGTGCAAGATGTTGCTATTTTTGGTTTGAACTAAATATTGTATATCAATAGGTGGTCGAAGATTGCGAGAAGATTACCTGGTAGGACTGATAATGAGATTAAGAACTATTGGAGAACTCATTTTAGAAAGAAAGAAGAAGCTCAAAACTATGGTAGATACTTTGATTGAGCTTTCACTTTGCATAATGTTAAGTCTTGTAATATAGGTCAGCTTTTCAATAACAATATGATGTGTTTTGCTGCAGATAAGATCACTGATTGGAGAGGAAATATAGGAGAAGATTTGTTGCACAAGTATAACGAAACAGAGATCACGAGAACAAGGATGACGTCTCAAGAACATGGTTTTGATGAAACTGTCAAGGAATGTAACCAGAGAAGTATGGAAAGTGGTCAAGAAACCAATGGTAGTATTTTCGAAAGAGAAAGCTTTGGTATTATGAATTCACCATACGAAAACCGGATTTCGGATTGGATATCGGAGATTTCTACAGACCAGAGTGAAGCAAATGTTTCAGAAGGCAATAGCAGCAGTACCAGTGAGAAGAATATTAATATTGCTTCTTGGTGGTTTCAAGAGACTAGGGACTTTGAGGAGTTTTCATGTTCTCTATGGTCATAATTCCAAAGTTTGTTTGTTTATTTACTTTTGTAATTCTTGAATTCGAAAGTGCTATAATGAAACAAGCTTACTAAGCATTAACTATATACAATTTGAAACAGTTTGAATCTGGATATCAAAGATGAAATTTGAATCTTAAGTTGAATGTATATATATACATGTCCATAATATCAAAACGAGTAAATTATAGAATTGATGTGTACTATCAGGTCTTGTTATATACAACAACAAAAAAACATGAGAAGTTCATGCCCCAATGGATGTAAAGAACTATTTATTTTCTGGTCAACATGATGGGTTTTGTTCAATCTAAATTAAATTAAGTGTTTGGTATACTTTTGTGCCAAATGATTTGTTAAAAATGTTTTTATTTTAGTTATTGTTCAACATCTAGTAAATAACAATATCCTAAAGTAATATATTGATAATGGTATGAAGTATAGATGCATGTATGGAACACCTCTTGTATTAAAATTTATGTAAAAGACCAAGGGAACAAGATAATATAACGTTAAGGATAATAAATATATAATCTCCATTTAGAGTATTAGTTATGTAATGTAATTTAATTAATGATAGGATAGGAGTGACATAAGACTATTACAACGTCACGATTACATATACGTACAATTTAACACATACACGTGGTGTTATTGTCGTAGTCTTAGGTCGATGAAAATCCCAAATTTGATTGATGGTACGAATCATGTGATTGTTCTTGACACAGTACGTACTGAAGATTCTTGAAAAAAATACAATTGCAAAGAAGAAAAGTATACACAATAATGAGTTTGGAAACAATATTTTGGCTTGTTCCTTAATAAAATAGGTAAATTCAATTCATGTTACAACATAACCATTTGTGTTGTAGAAGTAAACATGACAAAATATGATATGGAACTGAGCAAGAATGATAACACCAGAACTGAAAAAGATAACCGGTTAGTTGAACCGGTACCAGACATTTCATCGGTATAGTCATTATAAGAATCCAAACCACTGGTACCTTCGGATCCCGTAGTAGTCCACATCCCAAGATTGTTGTTCCTACACCAATCAAAACAGCCTAAATTAGCTCAATTTGACTTTTTGGGGTTCAATGGGGGATGATTATGAAAATAGTGGGGGTAAAAAGAAAAATTAGACAAAAAAGTAAAAGAATAAAGTTAAAGGCAAAAGTAGAAGAAAACAAAAGAGTATATAGAGACATTTATTTATACTATAATTTTTATATGATTTGTGTTGGTAAAACAAAAAGATTCAAAATGTTGATCATTTCTTTTTTTTTAAAACGACAACTTTGGCAAAAGAGTGTATGGTATAATGTAGAATCCAAACCTGCCCCCGACGCCAAGAACACCCGAGTGATATGTGATTTGGGTGATGAACGAGGCGGACTTAGGCTCGACGCTATATGCCTTCTCGTACCTCATTTCTGCACCTTCACCTGATGCTACAAAGAACGCTCCATTCACCAAAATGTCCCCCTCGGATCTCCAATTCCATCCTTTCCAATCGCCATCCGGTGTTTCCACTCTCTTAGTCACCTAAACAATATTGGTACCTTATAATTATTTTAAGATTTGATAGTATATAGCACAAAACATAATGAAACCAAAAGCATACCCCTAAAATGGACCAACCATGACTACTATTGAAAGCATACGGAGGGTTTAGTTTAGGTTACCTCTTTGGCGAATGGGTTGGTTGGAGCGGTGTAACGATTACCCTGACTGTTAATAGTCGGGTTACCGCTACCGCCAATGGCATACATTTCCCATTGAGTAAAATCATTGTTAACAACGTGTATATAACCACGTCTACACCTCGGCATTCTTTGTATCAATTTCTCTCCAAAGTGATTAAACGCGATTGTTACCTATATATATAAGTCACACATACGTTACTCTCGTTTAAAATCAAATAGTCACGCTAAGGAAAAATGGACTAGTGTGTGAGTCTGACCTGCATGCCACTGTCTGGTTCGTAGTGGTCGCTGTGACCGAGAAGCATGACTTCATTATGGTGAGAGAAGAAGTTGTTCGATATAGTAATTCCTGTGGAACCCATCACCGCATCGATCAGACCGTCTTTACACCTCGACAGAGAACAATGGTCGATCCATATATCCTTTGAACCGAAGATAGAGATACCGTCACCGTCCGATTTAGACCTGAACCCGTAGTGCGTTGGACTTGACCGCACGTTAGTATTCCCTAGCGAAATCATGGACAAACATAGTTTCAGAATGCTTTTATGAATAATCAACCAAATCAATGCTATTTCAGGGAAGGACGAAAAGGTTAAATAAAATTCTTACTATTATGCTTTTATAAATGTAATAAATCAATAAATGTTTTCTTTGTTTGCGTGTGAATACCAAAAACCAATGAATGAGAAAAGAAATGTACACCATTGCGGACCTACTACATTATTAGGGGTAGAAAAATGAAAAAAGGTTAAAAGATTAAAAAAGAAAAAATGTGAAAAGAGTAATTAAAAAAGAAAGAAAGAAGATATTTACCGGATTGGTAACAATGGTGGATATGAATGTTGTGGATGATAATATTGGAGACATATTGAAGAGTGATGCAGCCACCACCAACGATGTGAACATTAGCTCCTCTCCCATCAAGTGTCTTGTAGCTATTGAAGATTAGCTCTTGCTTTAGTTTAATCATCATGTTGCTTGGGAACACTATCCACAATGGCTCTTCTTGTATCACTCCGTATCTGTGGTCATTTTTTTTTTGGGCACTTCACATTGTTAATCTTATCTTAAACACAAATATTTTCACATTGTAAACCCGATTGCTTTGACATTGCTAAAGATTCCCTAACATTATTCGCGAGGTCCCCATGAGACTGGTACACTTGTTTTTATTATATAATTTTGTCTATTCTCTAAAATTTATTATATTTTTCACTTGTAAGGACAGAGTTAAAATTAGAATGTAGGTTAGGGACATCAAATTATAAACATCTTAAACATTACATTATACTGTATGTTAACAAAATAAATTTAGTTTACTCAAAATTATGTAAACATCAGGGATTGTTGGTAAATTTCCCCATAAAATGGAGGGTTTATTTAGAAATATAAACAAGTGGTATTGAAAAGTCGTACGTAATTAATAGATTGGTGTTGGGGACATGTGAATATGAGATGAGAAAAGAAAGAGAGAAATAAAAAAGTTATTGTGTAATAAGATAAACGTTATAGCTTAAACAGAATCTTATTTTCTTATAAGGTTTTAAATTGTGAAAGTGTATAGAGGTAGGGTTTAGGGTTAAAAACAATAATGACATGTAATAGTCAAGTAAAGTATATACTATTAGTGTTGTTAAGTGTTACCAAACGACTAAAATAATCTAACTACGGTCAATTAAAGATAATATCTTTGTCTTGAACCTAGAAAAGAAAACAAAACATTTTTTTTGTCTATTTGTCGAGGATTAATTTATAGAATTGCTTGTAAAATAAGAAAACCGGTTAAGTTGGTTAGGTACCTGAGAGTGCCCGGTTTAGGGTCGACGGCATCGTCGTCGGAAGAATCAGTGACGAAGTAAAACTGACCACCTTTGCCACCCAAGGCGTACTGTCCGAACCCGATTCCACAATCTGCTAGACTTTGTCGGTTGTTGGGCCAGTTTGGGTCACATTTCCAACAGTCATCGATTGGGTTACCGGTGAAGCAAGGGTTCGAACCAGCCTGGTCCGTCGTGTCAAGAGTTTGACGTCTTGTTATAGATGCATTTACTCTCCTATGAAAATAAAAAAATCAAAACCGGATTATTTACAGTTATGTCCAACAGAACCGGAGATTTTAGAAACAGAGAACATAGCAAAAACAGGGGAAAAAAACAGAGCAAACCCTAATAATAGATAGCTTGTCAAAATGTTTAACAAAAAAACCCAGTTAGAAAAGTTTACATGAAAGAATGTGAAATAAGAGAGTAAAGGTAGTAGATCCAGAAGAGGCAATGTAGTAAGTGTACCACTGAACTTGATAAGCGACTAGTTCCGGGTCGGGGTGTGGAGTGAGAAGAACAGTTCTGTTGTTGAGCATGGCGAAGCCCATTTGTGGAAGAAAGAAGAGAAAAAAAGAGAAGAAAAGTACAATGCAGCTTCTTGGAAGCATCATTGGCGAAGAAACTGATGATTTTAGGGATTCTCTTAGGGTATTATTCTTGGTTAGTTAGGAGGAAGGAGAAGTATTCTTGGTTAGTTAGGAGGAAGGAGAAGGAGAGAGAGAGAGAGAGAGAGAGAGAGAGAGTAGTTAAGACATGGCTTGTTCTTCTTCTCTGCTCTTCACTCTTCTGACCAGTGTTCGTGAGTGGCTTTTCACAGTGTGTTATTGCTTTTGTAATAATAGCTTTCTTGGCTTTTGTATTTTTTGTTTTTCTTTTTTTTTTGAAGAGAGAGAGAGAGAGAGAGTGAAGGTTGTTTTCCACTGACAGTCTCGAGGACTGAGAATCTGCTTGTCTCGAGGAAACGGTCTCCAATTTTTGCCTTTGATGAAGTTGTAATAATAATTCTATGTAATTATGCTCACACGATATATAAGATAAGGATACCTATCCATAAGGCATTTAACAGATTAACAAACGGTAGGCTTTGATATTTGAATCTCTTGTCAGTTGTTTTTCACCTTTTGTTATAAAAGCGATGTGACCTTATATGATAAATAGAAAAATTCCCACGAGCTTTACTACACTATGAATGCTACTACTGTTTAAGAGGTTCTTGGTTGTTTGAACAGAACCCGTATGTCATCAACTATATTTTGTTTTTGTTTTTGTGAAGCTTGTTAGAGATTCCAATCTGACTTTATGTGGTTTGAGACCTGATTTGAGATTACTAGACTAAACTAGTATATGCGGTATAGTTATCTAAGTGCTGTGATAATACTAATTGAATTTGAATGATATATACATAAGCTAGTTTAAGCTGTTTGAGAAGTACTTTGACTAAGACGGATAATAGACTTTTTTTTAATCGGAGAGGGATCATCTATTTAGATATGGCTTCTGTGTATTAACTGTTATTATACAAGAGAAACCTAGATTTATACTAGTGTCCAACGATTTGAGTTATTTGATGAATGGTTTAACATGTCTTATCACTAACATTCCAAATGTAATATTTAGATGGAGTTTGGTGCATATGTCACATAATCACATCTATATGATTCGTTTAGTTGCACCAAATTCTGTCTAGATGAATAATACTGCACCACTGATTGCTTCAAGGATACGTTCTACCACATATATTGAATGGGTATATTAGCACTTGAATATATTTTGTTGGATGAGGTAAACACATATATTCAAGTGCTAATATACCCATTCAATATATATACCACATATACGCTCACTACACGTCGTTGGTTGTATCATTTTGTTGGATGAGGTAACCATTTTACTTCAACGAAATACTATTCTAATGATGGATGAGGTAACCATTTTACTTCAACGAAATACTATTCTTTTACAGGAATTCCTCAAAATACCATCATTTTGGTTTTCTTTCCAAAAATATTACTAAAATCAAATTATTGTTCAATGGTATGGAATTTTAAATCTTTGGTTTGAGTTGATTATTTGCAATTTAGGATATAATATTTAGGAGGTAAGGTTTAATGTTTAGAATTTAGAATTTAAAATTTGAAAATTTAAAATTTAATCTTAGTCTTGTGGTATTTTTGTCCTAAAAACAAAAATGGTAGTATTTTAGAGAATGTCCCATTTTTTTATGTTCTAATATAGTTACAACAAATTATCAACATTTGGGACTATCCAAAAAAACTAACGGTCTAACCACCTGACACTATTGCAACTTGACCAATTCAACCGAAGAAAAAATCAAATTTACTATACATGATGACCAACATATACACACATATGCGCACAAACAATATTACATGAGTGTGTGTTCACTCAAGTTCCTCGTGAACGTGTGACAAATCAAGATAAATGGGCGTGATTGTTGGATTATTATTAAAGTTGTTTTTAGATTAGCAATGTAAGCTAAATGTAGGAGTTAAAATAACGTGATGTTAGGCGACATCTTTGGTGAAGGAAAAAAAACATTATAGATATAAAGATAAACACTTTGCCTCCTCACATGTCCAATAAGATCATTGTTACCAATCATAGTGTCCATTAAAGTCATTTCATTGCTTGTGTTATTTTCAACAAAAGATGAAATTAAGGACTTCATTAAAACGCCTACATTACGTAAAGCAATCTTCTTTTATCAACTTTTTTTCTTTTCTTTGTAGTAGTCTGCATCTTTTATCATCAATTTGTAATTATCTAGTAGATTTAACACAACTTCTTCAAAAGTATCCAAGTGTTCTTTATTTTCAGATAAGTACGTTCTAGACTGATGTTACAAATATTACATTAGTGTTCTTTTCTTGACTAAATTAGATAATTAGTGTTCTTAACATTCATCTCTCTCTCTCTCGGTGTAGTCGGAGCTAGATAAGCGTAAGCTTATAAGTGGAAATAGTCAAATCTCATTATACCTCATATTATTAATTATTCGAATCTTTGTAGTTTGTAGTATTACAACAAGTGCGACCCACTTAGAACTGCATTTTTTTGTTTGTCAATAAAGTTACTGATATTGCAGTTTATCCTTTATTGGCTCTTGTCAAAGCATCATGGACCCAATGGTCCCATCCCCATCTATGTATTGTATGTGATACATACGTGATACGTAAAACAGTTTCATGCTATTGTCTTTTTTTTCTCTTTAGTATTTTCATTTTATTCGATTACTATCAAAAGTTAACAGCAGGTAAATTTACGAGGGGGGAGTAAATGTATAAGAGACAAAATATGGTGGAGCTACTAGATTACTCTTCTACCCCAAAGCCGCTAAGGCTAGTCAAGGTTCAAGGTTCACCCAGATGAGCTTATAGAAGGCTTATTTTGTTTTATATATTGTCAAACGTATGAAAAAAAAAAAGATATAATGGAAGATGTTTAGACTAAACCACTAGACGTCTAGACCATGAATAATTAATAGACATACAACTTAGCTTTGTTTAATAGATTACTAATTTCAATACCAAGTTTTCAATGCCTCACCCATTTATCTATGTGTTTCCATTCTCATATATGTCAAAAACTATATATGTTCGTAATTGCACCTGATCACTGAATCAAGAGGGAGTTTTATTCTTTCTGTCTTAGGCCAAATTGTATCCTTTTGACCCATATATCCATAATTTGTACATTTGACTTGCCCATATACTACATTATTTCGTTAACAGCCAGCATTTACCATTACGTACATATATGCATGAAATCAGCATGATGCATGCGACAACAAAAATCGTTTTCAAGGACCTAGCGTTGACTTCTTCTTCATCTTTTGTTTAAAGTTTTTTACAAATCTAAGTTTTAGTACTTTCTTTGAACTTATAAATAACTTATGTTTCAGCTTATTAGTTTGCAAAGAGAAGCAAGAAAAGCTCATAATTTTGTACTTTTCCGAACAAGTAATTTGTCTAATGTGAATGAATCATGAAGTTTGGAAGAAAAAGATTTGGAGTTATTAATAAGTTCTCTTCCCCAGTTAGATACAGCTCACATGGATATAGATTTTATTCGTCTACTTGTTTGGTCATAATAAGCGTACCTTATTATGAACCTAATTTTTGAACTTGTATTCATGAGCAATTTTTATAGATTAAACAGTAGTTAAGTATTTAAAGTTTACACTCTAATTTAGTAATGTTAAATACAAGACATGATTTACCAGTAGAATGCTATACTAATTAACTTTTTTACTTTCGTAACATGTGTTTTTACTTTGTAGAAAACTTTATAGGATTCATAGATGTATAAAGCTTTATTTTCCTCGGTTAGTCAAAGCTGTAATGAATCAGAAAAAAGAATGATAAGGCACCTAGATAACAATAGCCGGACTAAAGTGTATATTTGCTCCTAATACTACGAAATCATTTTATTGATCGCAGTATTGGTAAATAGACCAATAGATAGACAAGAGGTGATTATAGAACTACTCATATGGAAAAAAAAAACTTAATATATTTAATTCAGTCATGAGGACAAATTAGGTACCATTTAAGCAAAGAAACATGAATAGATAGAGACTTAAAATCTATTAAATACAAATAGAGAACCAAAACTTGAGACTTTTAAAAGGCGTGGGACGAAAAAAGTAAGAAATACACAAGCACGCGTCTCGAAATATGAAATTTAATTTAATTATTTTCTGATCCGTATCTTTCTTTATGTCACGTTTGCGGTTTGCATATACCCCGTTCAAGGTAAAAAAAGTTATTATAGTGTACGTAGCCAACATTCAGGTATTTGCAAACACGACCCATCATTCTTATTATAGTTTTAGAAACTTTAATACAGTACACAGTTCTCTAACTTCTCTTCATGTGACACACAAAGTAATCATCACCCTCAGGCTCAAAGGATTAGTATCGGTGAATGAGTTGCTTATATGCATCTGGATTCTTCGAATAATACTCAACCTCAGACTGTTGCAAAAATTTGACAAAAAGAATCAAAAAATTAGTAGTGCATTATGTTACCCATTGTGAATCTAATCGAATCTAAAAAGACAATAGTGTTACCTTACGGACTGCTTTTATGGCAACTACAAGCTTTTGTCCGAGAAGTTCGTGGAGAACTTCATCTTTGTCCAGAGCTTCAACAGCTTCCGAGAGTGATTCTGGAAGTCTACTCAATGTAGCAGCCACATCGGCCGGATTTACATCTGTTTCATCGAACAATTTGTTTAGCACAATACAAATTATACATATAACAAAAATGGACCGATCCATACATCACCACTTGGTCTTTAGGTTGGAAGCCTATAAAGCTTAACAAAAATATTTTGAAAGGTTGGAGAAAATGTATTTTGAAGGATGGATTCAATAGTCTGTTAAATGCATTTCATAACACAAACACGTAAAACTCCATCCCAACAACTCAAGAACAAGCTTCATCTTAAGACTATATATATCATGAGAATAATATGAATTTTTAGTTACCTATTGGACTAGGTAGTTTGAGATGTCTTCGGAGGCCATCAATACCGGCAGCCATTATAGCGGCCAAACCAAGGTGAGGATTTGCAGAGCCATCAAAAGACTTGATCTCAAAGTTGGTAAATATTCCATCAGGACATCCTGGTGGAGAAGCTGTTCTTATAGCCGCTTCGCGGTTTTCCTTGCCCCAGCAGTGGAATGCTCCACTCCATGTATTAGGTTGGAGCCGATCATAGCTGAAAGTTTAGTTAAAGAAATTAACTTTTAGTAACAATTTTAGGACATTACTAAAAAAAGACATGGTTCTAGAAGTTACCTGTTTGGGAGTGGAGCTATAATTGCTACGATTGAAGGAAGGTGAAACAGAACTCCGGCCATGAACTCTTCTCCAATGGACGAGATTCCGAGAGAAGATGACTTATCAGATGCCGGGAAGACATTTTCGCCGTTTTTCCAAAGACTTAGATGTACATGTGATCCAGAACCAATGTCACATAAGTCATACCTATCAAAACACACAAATGCATTCTTTTAATATTTGAGGTCTAAGAGTATACTTTTGGTGGGAGAAAGAGACTGACATACTTTGGAACAAAGGTCGCGAGCAATCCATGTTTCCTTGAAACCGATCTTATAACTTCACGCGTATAAACCAAATTGTCGGCAGCATGAGATGAAACGGTGTGACCGAGAGATAGTTCAAACTGACCTTTCCCAGATTCAGCATGAAACTATGACAAAATATATACATGTCAAGACACATGATACAGACTGATCATAATGAAGGACTTTTAAACTGTTTGTAACCTGTTCAACTGTGATGTTCAAGGACTCGAGCGCAGGTACAATATCGTGGAAAATCTGAGATGCAGCATCAAATGAGGATGCGGAACAGTAAGGACCAAAGTCAAAAGGCACATACTCCTCTTTCCCTTCCCTTCATATATTTTGGGATGGACTAGTGTTAATATTATGAAAATGACCGTACTGAACGAAGAAACCAAGATTTAAGAAACATTTAGTAGCATACCGCACAACATTCTTGAGGATGTAAAACTCATTCTCAAAACCCGCGTTCATTACCTAAAAACCAAGGAGACTTTGAGTTTAAGCAACCAAAAAGACAATAAAAGTTTCCATAGAGAGAATTTATGAAGATTTTCACCAAGTCAAATTCATCTTTGAGAACTTTTGTGACCCTTCTTAAGGTCTCTCTTGGACAGTATTCCCATGCTTCACCAGGCTTTAAGTACATGTCAGCTAAAACCATGCTCTCTTGCTTTGTCCTAACGGTAAATATTATACAGTAACAGATAAGAAAAAAAAAATGTAAAGTTATAACTTCAGAGAGAACGAACACAAGTAAAGTACCAAGGTATTGTCTGTTTGGTTGATAGATCAGGAATCAGTCTAATCTCACCCACACCAGTCAAATTAGACTCTTCTGCTGGTCCATCAGCAAATGAAGTCATCCCCATTGTTACAACAGTCAGACCAACGCCGTTCTTCTTCACGCTTTTGTTAAAACGATGCGCGTGAACAGCCTGAAACAATACAATAAACATAATTCTAGTCAAGGTGAGAATCAGAGGTTTTTTCTTCAGAAGAAACAAAAAAAAACTCACTCGGCATCTTTGTTGTCCAGATGTATCAACCCAAATAATGCGTACAAAAGAACTACTATCTTCTTGAACATCAGGCTCCTTCATCTCTACTGTGGGAGATATTATACTTCGTGGAGTAGAAGAATTCGTGTTTAAATTAAGCTTATAAAATTCAATCGAGTTTCTTGAGAAAATGTCTTTAGCTGCATCAATAGCTTCCATGAGTAAGAGATCACCGCTGGCACATGCATCACGCAAAACTAAGAAGATGATCTCTCGTGCTTTCTTTGCACCTGCAAAAACACAGAGCTTCGTTCAAGCCTAAAGCAAGGAGATTTAAAGTTTCAAAGCTTAGAAATAGAACTGAAAAATATATAAAAGTATGTAACAAACTATACAAAAGAGGTATCAATTTGAGCTGACCTAAATAGTAGGTCTCAGGAGATGCATACCCATCAGTGCTGAACATAACCTGCAAAATATCTCGAACAACAAAGATAATGCAAGCAAGAGATGATGAAACTTAACAATGTTAACATACTGCATTTAAGAGTTACCTTCTTTGTTGGAGCTAAGTCAAGGAGCTCTTTAACTGAAGACACCATACCATGAACACTTAGCTTTGGAACAGCCAACCCGAAATCAAGATAAACCTTAAGGAACACACAAGATTGATAAAAAAAAGTAAGTTAACGACTAGACATAATTTTACAGAAAATTGAAATGGTATGAAGTAAACCTGAGTATAAACTGAAGACAGAAAGGATGCTTCCTTTGAGAATGGATAAGCTGCATGAAGAAGAACTATACGACACTTTGCAAATCTTTTGTCTTCAAGAAGGGATCTAAGGTGAAGTGGATTTGACAACCTCAAATCCAAATCCCTGTCACCAAAACTGGCTTAAACAACAAAAGATAAAGAGATTTGTCATCACTAAGTCTACAAACGAGTATGAGTTTCTGATTCTATGTATAGAACAGAGCAAATTCTCAAAAGCTCACAGCATAGAAGCATTGAAGGACAAAATCTTACGGCACAATTCAAACTCACTAAAGATTCAGAGTTATATAATGAAAAAAAAATCAGACTTTACTAGCATCAATTACAAAGACCCCTCACAGAGTTTGACCAAATTTTGTATACATACCCTGTGTGAATCTGCAAGGGCAAGTCGCAACGTTCAGCTAACTCCAAACAACAAGTAACAATGTAATCAATCAAGCCTTTGTTTCCTATGCGGACAGGGCTTCCAGCTGCAGTAACAACAGGGTTTAAGGTGTAAGACAACAGCTATGTTACTTCTTGATGGACCAATGTGCAATCTGTCTTACCTTGCAAGACTTCAGCGAGGCCTTTCTCAGCAACTTCTTTACTCACATGAGTATCAATATCCAAACCGCTACGATAAGCAGCAATAGTTTTTAAAGCAACAATCTCTGGAACAAGCGTGACATCGGTCAAGGTAAACCAACACTACTGAATAGTCACGATTCACTAAGAGTGTATTAAGAAAGCAAGATAAAGGATATGAATTTAATCTTTCAACAAAGGCTCTGGTGAAAGAATCCAAACTCCAAGAAGATGCATCAGGACACTCCTCGTCGAGGATTTGCTCGGCAAGAGTTTCGATACGCAAGACTCGACCAACAAACGGAACAAAGTTTCTATGCCATTCAATGTCATGTTTCTTGTCTAGCTTCAATCCGTCATCAATGAGCAGAGCAGAGATCCGAGCTTCTTGAAAACACTTGGTAGTAAAAGAATCCAAACCAGAGGTCTTACGATGTTCCTCAATCGCTTCTAAAGATACTTGAGTGCCATAAAGCTGAGCAATCTCCCTCAAGTTCCTCTGTTTCATTCATACAACCAACAACATTCATAGTCATACCCCATAAAGCAAACAGAATATTCATGATCAGTGACTTTTTAGGTAATTTTAAGCTAATGGTTCCCTTAAATTAGAATCTGGTACAAACGAAAACGTTGGCGTTTTAAGAGATTTAACAGAGAGACATGGTTTCCTTGTCGTGAGTGTACCTTGAAGGAGAGAGAATGAGGAGCGAAGGTCAACGCGTCGCCGTTAGCCTCGGAGAAAGTTCCGACGAACGGAAAAGAAGAGTCAAGAGCGACAAGGTTGTGTCCATGAGCATCAACGAGCTCTACTTCTTCTATTGCTTCTTTTAACTCCTTAAACTCCAACTCCATCTCTCTCTCTCTCTCTCTCTCTCTCTCTCTCTCTCTCTCTCTC